ATCACGCAGACAATCGACGCGTTTGCGGGCCTCGACCGCCCGTTCTCGCGGCGCCACCGCATGGAACATCTCGAGCTGGCCTCGGAGCACGACGCAAAGAGACTGGGAGACCTGGGGATCACGGCCTCAGTGCAACCCGTGCATTCGGACCCGGCGCTATTCAAAGCCTGGCCAACCCTCCTCGGCACGCACCGGTGCCGCCGCGCCTTTCCATATCGCGACTTTCTCGACCACGGCGCCCCCTTGGCCTTTGGCACCGACGCCCCCACCGCCGCGCACCTGCCACTCCCGAATATCTACAACGCCACCACGCGCCGGTCGGCCCTCGATCCAAGGTCGCTCGACAGAACGAACCCGCAGTTCGCCGTGTCTCTAGCAACGGCGCTGAGGGCCGCCACCTCCGGAGCGGCATATTCCCGCCATGCAGAGGGGTGGACGGGCAGTCTAAGAAAGGGGTCGAGCGCGGACTTTGTCGTGCTCGACACGGACTGGACGTCAGAAGGTTTACTTCAGGCGAGTGTGCGCGAGACTTGGTTTCAGGGTCGGAAAATGTTCGACACAATATAGCCAGATACAACTATAGGAGACGTGGTTTGAGAAAATTCTACTCTCATATGCTGGCTCAGGCAAGGGAGGGAACGTCTTTGAAAGAGTGTTTCATTGCTCTGGTAGCGTGTTTAAGAGTCTCAGGCCCAGTAAAACAAGTGGAAACACTGTATTGCGTAGTATTATTTAGGTCTACCAGTGTGAAACCCCTACTCTGCCCCTTCGTGTTTGCTCGTACGGCACTAAAAATGGATCGTAGAACACCACCTGGTCTGTGTGCTTCAAACTTTATCATCAATGAATACTTTCCCTGCTCGAAACAGTCCTCTTACTAAGAGACGAGAAGAACTTCTCACAACTCCGCCTTGGGTTGGTTTGACGCAGATTTAGATGCTGAGGCAGCACGTTGGACCACACCGAATCTCGTGTTGCCGACATCGAAAACCCTATCCACAGTCAGCTTGACTCATCAAGATGTAAGAAACCTTGACTCACGCATAGACGTTCTGCAAGAAGGTATCCCCAAAGATGTCAAAGTTCTGGTCGCCGCGCGATTGAATACCACCATACACCATGTTGCCGTCAGAGACCCCAGCAAAACCGAGGTGTTGTTTCTCAATGGTAACGGGAGTATCGCCCACCATGAACGTGACAGTCGGGAGATCGCTTTCGGAAGTGTTTGCAGGGAACACCCAGCCTTGCTGACTGCTGTCCTGTTTGGCACCAGGAATGGCACTATAGACTGCCTCGCAAACTTCATCGGACGTGAGAAGAAGGGTGGTGCCTGTGTCCGCAATTGCCTTATTTCCGGAGAGCTGAATAGTCTTGCCATTGACTTGAGCAGAAGTCGAGTCGAACATCCAGAAGCCCTGAGAGTTGTCGATAGGGGTGTACCCGATGTCAGATCCGGACGGGATGACCGATTGATCAATCTGGCCAAAAGTGTCTGAGGTTACGTCAGAACCAATTTCAATATAGAACAGCAGTCAATAGTTACAGAATGAGTCTTCGTTTTGGTCCTTGATGGATCCCAGATAGCAGGTAAACAACTCAGCATTCTGAGGGATATCTTCTTGAGCAATCATATTTTCAACAGGCGTTTGAACTGGGGAAGGCTGCACGGTGTTGATGGAGCCGAAAGCGAGGCCCAGCAGGCCGTCGGAGGTAGCATCCTGGGTGAACTGAGACGACAACTTGGTGGCGAGCTCAATGGCTTGGTTCTCGACAGTGATATTACCAATCTCAACGTTGTCCGTTCCAACACTGCCAGATGCGGATGACTGATCACCATATTGAATTTGCCAGGTGGAGCCTTGAGAGGTCTTGAATGTGGATGACTTGGAGGGGTCAAAGATTGCATGGCCTTTGCCTGCAGACAGTGTGCTCTGAGGCAGCTCCGTGGACCAGCACCAGAGGTCGGAAGATCCTGAGTCGAAGTCCTAAGAGGTCGTGAGCGACAAAATCTGGGGTGTTCTCCAAACACTCACCAAGTTCAGTGTCTGAGCTGGTGTACCAATCTTGACAGGACAGGTGTACAGGGAATCATTCTGTTGATCAGTCGCCGTGCTGCCAAACTAGTCAGTGTATGTGAGTACCATGGGAGATGTGATAACTTACACTTCGCCTTGGGTGCCATCGGCGTTCTGCTTTACGAGCAGCTTCTTGCCTTTGACAGCAGAGTAAGGACCTGTGATGGTGGGAGTGATGCGGTACTTGTTCAGAAGGTAGACATAGGACTTGAGTCCGTTGCGTTTGTAGTGAGGATTGCGTCGGATGGGCACGCGGAGGAGAGATGCCATGTTGGGCTATGTGGTCTTGCAGGTGGCTTCGAATAGGGATAGAGAATGCTGCAGGAGAGAGAGAGGGAGGTTTTGAGAGACTCGAAACTGAAACCGAAGGTGAGAGATGTGCTGGGAGTATTTGTAGTCAGTTCAATGGTTTCTCAGAAGAGGATGACGCATTGCCGTTGCTATTCGAGGGAGGAAATCAAACAGGGAAAGCCCATCATTGTGGATTGTGACATCCCAGCATTCCTTTACATTGGCTTGGTGAACATCTTCCTTGAATGCGAGGTTCCAGGAGCCAGTTGAGATTCAGGTACGACAGATCAAAGATGACTCCGGGTCGCTGCTGGTTTGCCGCGTTTCAAGATGCGGCACGTACTGACCCTGTACAGCCTCACTCCAGCACCCCGGGAATCTCTGCCCAAGGCCTGCACATCCTTGAACACCCAGTACAGCTCTACATACCATTGGCGCCCATCCCTGTTGTCGGTAATAGACATGCTGCGACATACCCAATGACTGCGACATAGGCGGTGCCACTTGTACCAACCTGAGAAGCCCAACCCGATTGTGGAGCGTCGATCATGGCGTCGTCACTGTCTTCGTCATTGCTTGAACCAAACAAGCTTTACATCAGTCAACGGAGCCAACTGTAGCATCTTCTTCGCGGCGGCTCTCCCATACGATATATTTTGGGGTTTGTACAGTTCCTTGCACAAGAGACGAAATGGCGGTCAACCACGAATATCCTAAGATGGATGGCGGTTGACGGCGGCCTGAGCGCTGTCAACTTGGGTATTTGCAGCTTGCAACTGTCACAGAAGCTGATGTACATGCGACTGAAACGCTGGCCAGCAGGTACCAGCTTCAGAGACGAATTACATCACCCACAGCCTATAATGGAATCGGCAATGCTGAGATTCGTCAAGATTCAGAGGGGTGAAAAATAGTGATATTGAAGGGTCGAATAAGGAGGTCCTATTCAAGCTACAGTGGCCATCCACCGAAGAGATGGGGCATAACCAAACCTGTCAGTATTTCACTGGGCCAGGAACAAGTCGAACTTCCGCGCAGATCACCCTCCATCCTCCGAGAGTCCTGCAACCTGGACCAGTTGCAAAAATATCCTTAAACACCACTCCCAAGACCGACTCTCTTGGGGTAGAAATTGTGGAGTCGGAACTCTGCTCCCCAGGGGCAGAAATTCAACCAACCACAGCACCAGGGGATAAAGTGTCTTGTCTCTTGACTCCGATATAACACTATTTTCTACCCCAAATATTACAAGGCAGAAGCTCAAGGTGGACATATGGAACACGTCGAGATGACAAATTGAATATCGGACACTCCTCTATACAGGATAATGCTGCGGGCGGTGGACGCAGCGACGCGAAGATGATAGGTATAAATGGACCTGGCAGCTCAACCTCCAGTATTTGGAAACGACTCCTCAGGCTTGATCTCAAACCTTCTGAGCTCGACAATATACCTTTGTTCATTGCAGTAACATTGATCCTAGCAGACGTACTATGTCTCCCCAAGAGCAGACGGTGTTCCGGTATACGTCCGGCAAAGGCTTTGACAGGCTGCAAGCATTCAAAGAGCCAATCCCCACCATCGGCGACTATGAAGTCCTCATCAAGATTCACAGCGTCTCCATCAACTACCGCGACATTGCCATAGCCCATGGGACATACCCACTCGTGGTCAAGGATCAGGTTGTGCCGTGCTCCGATATGGCGGGCGAGGTTCTTCAGGTCAGCAAGCAGGTGCACAACATGTCAGTGGGCGACGCTGTCATCGCTGCAATCAGTTCTTCAACCTTGTATGGTCCAGTAAAGGACCATCAAAACACACTTGGAGGCACCGTAGACGGCGTCCTGAGGGAATATATTGTCCTGCCCGTACATCAGGTGATCAAGCTGCCCAAATCGTCACATAGCTTGACTGAATGGTCGGCCACGGTGGGGACGGGTGCAACAATCTGGAACTGCTTCTATGGCTGCTTGCCCTTGAAGCCAGGTCAGACAGTCCTCATTCAAGGTATGAGGTCTTGAACCCCTAGAGAAAGCCAGCACCTTACAGATTGCAGGAACTGGAGGAGTGGCTTTAACCGCTCTAGTCTTTGCGAAAGCAGCGGGAGCAACCACAATCATCACATCTTCCAGTGATGAGAAGCTCGCAAAAGTCAAAGATACATACGGCGCCGACCACACGATCAACTACAAGACTCATCCAGACTGGGCGGCGGAAGTGCGGCGCATCACCGATGGCGAGGGAGCAGACCATGTCATTGAGAATGGCGGGATTGGCACAATCCGACAGAGCATTGAGTGCGTGGCAATGGGCGGCATCATATCCTTGGTCGGCTTTCTCGCCAGCATGCCACAAGACCAGGTGCCCGATGTGACATTATTGGCCATTTCCAAGGGGGTCGTACTCCATGGCATTCTGGCCGGGTCTAAACAGCAACTCGAGGAAGCCGTGCAGTTCATTGGTAAACGGAATCTGACCGTGCCAGTGGGCAGGACGTTCGCATTCAATCGGGACGACATCGTTACGGCGTTACAATATGTTGCCTCTGGTCAGCATACTGGCAAAGTGTGCATAACCCTGAACTAAGGAGTTTGTACGAGAAGTCGGAGGCCAGAGCCAATGACCGTGTCAATCTCAAGAACATGGACTCCTTGAAAAACTTGAGCCCAGAGCCTCAGCGTCGTTGTTGCCATGCGCTGATAGCGCGATGATTCGTCTTCCGGAACATCCAGCGTCTCTGCCAGAGACGTCTCCTTGATGATTCCGCTAATGATGTCCAACAGCTTACGCTCCGTTTTGCGTAGTGCGTCCGGGCCGCCGGATTTAGTGATCGTCGCGATCATGGCAAGCCAATCCCTCAGCAACAGGGCACATTCGAGGCTGCTCAGCGAGTACTCGATGCTCCGGAATGGTAATCGGATGTGGGATATCAACTCGAGGCCCAATCGAACCGGTATACTCAAAGCGTGTGCTGCATGAAGAATGGCTCGATCCAGGCGAGATGACCTGTCCAGACAACTCCTTTCAAGCACAAGGTCGTTGACTTCTCGGGACCAGAGGATTCGGCACGGCGCCATGTTAGAGCTTAGTCGAATATAGGCCCACCGAAGCAGGGCCGTTGCGTTCAGACCCAAGGGCCCTTTCTCCGACAGAGGATCGAGCGTGGACTCGTAGGTGCGCTCCCAGGACAACTGCCACGTCCGTAAGGCGGTCTCAAGCGTGTTCGCCGTCCCTGGGCCAAGAGGACGCCTGACCCCGTCAGCGTTGAGAAGCGTGAATTCCTGAAGCAGGGAGTGAATGAGTACATAGTTGGCGAACGAAGACACGGGGTATACGCGGCCATGGAGAAGCGACATAAGTGTTGCTTGGAGCCCACGTCGGCCGTGGAAATTGCTCCGGAGCCACTGCGATGGGCTGCTGGCTTTCCACGACTCCTCACAGCTGGGCAGGGCAAGACATATGTCGCCGGATTTTAGCTCTAGAGGGACGTCGTAGGCGAAATGCTGCAGGTTGTGAAGGACGTAAGCAGAGAGCAAGGTCCTCCTCCGTTCCTCCGCAGCCACCCACTTACACCAGGCCTGTTCCTTTGCAGCGACGCTCATCAATGAACGATCCACGTGTGTTGATTCCAAGGTATCTGTGATTCCAAATTGTATCACCAGCGTGCTTAATCGTTGTCCCAGGAAAATTGCGTCCGGCAACATGTCCTTTTGCGCCCATGACGCGTAGGCGACAAGGAGGATAAGCGTTTGGATTTTCCCTAGTCCGTTTCTCCGCTGCGGAGCTGGCTGATTCTGCGATGACAGAATGTCACTGGATGACTCCAATTCATGCCGGCCGAGATTCTCTAATAGGATCGCTTTCGACATATGGTACAAGCTAGAGGAGCAAGACGTTTCAAACCGATTGAGGGCCCCCATGGCGGCTGCAGCTAGCAGTAACTCGATGTCAGACTTTGCGACAGAGAAAGTTGCCGAATGAAGGAAAGGGAGACTTTCTTGGGCACAGCGGAAGTACGATTCCAGATTGCGGCTCAAGGAATTTCGTGATGGTAATCGCCAGTCGTGAGGAAGAACTGCCGAGTAGGACTCGACTTCGAGACAGAATCCTTCGTAGGCCGACTCGGAGAAAGACCAGGGCAGGATACGCGTATGATCTGTGAAAGCTCCACCATGATCCTCATCAGTGCTCTGTTGGCGTTCCGCGCCGTCCAAGTCTGGCAGATGGGAGCTGAAATGAGGAAAGTCGGTTGGACCGGGAGGTTGACTCCGTGCCGAAATGAAGGTGAAAGGTACATTCGTGTCACTGTCGAATAGGGTGGGCGGAAGCATATCTTGCATGAAGAGCTGGGGATCAAAAAGGAGGTCAGGGTCGTCGGTCGTCCGATTGCCATCGAAGTCGCTCAGTTCGGGAAGGTCTTCCTTGCTCTCCTCGACTGGCACTACATCTAGGATTTGGACATGTGATAGTCTGAAATGTCGGGAGAGTAGATCTCTGAAAATAGGTTAAGCGCATGGCTTGCATAGGAGCTCAAACACCGGCTCACTGTCTGGTAAAGGTCTGGCCGCATTGGCAGGCGAAGGGCCTCTCACGCGTATCTACCCACTGTCAGTATTGTTCTTGTATTCTCTGGCAACAGTCGTCCTACGTGTGCGCTCATGCCGCAGAAAATGCTCGCGGCGCTGGAATTGCTTTCCACAGTAAGGGCAAGGTGGCACCACATTTCGTGGCCTTCCTCGAGGCATCTGAACTGTGAATGTCTCGGGACAAAATGAGATGAGGTGCAAGAAGGAAATAGAGATGTTGAGAAAGTAGGTTGTATTAGCTGAGGCTGGCTAGGGTGAAGTACACGGGCATCTTTTGCTGTCACCCACGAAAAAAGTACCGTGTCGACTTCACTCCAACTACTACACCATCTCTAAAGGAGGTGACAGAAAAGAAGGAAAGAGAATATTTTATTGTTGAAGCAAAAACAATCAACAGCTAGGATTCCCACCTGGTCACCCACTGTGGTACTAACTAGCCGGTATCAGGCTTAAGTACGGCTGAGCGAACGGGAAGCCCTGATCTCCTGATCCTATGGTCGATTGCGAGAGAATATGTTCAATTTCAATCTATATACCCTACAGTGTTAAGTATGCCTGAAGGAAAGCTGAATATACGTATGTAGGAGTGACATCAGGCTGAGATTTATTGCGAGGCGCGGCCACCCCCGCAACCCCCAACAGTTTGCGAGGCTGCGGTTGACGCCATGCATCCTTAGCAGCCGAGATCTAAACCTGGCGCGCTTGGTCAACCGGTTTTCGGCCGTGCGTTGAACCGACTACTTCGACACAAAGTTACCCGTTACAAATACACTTCGGTCGTGGGTTCCAGACATTCTTTTGCTTTGCTTTACACCTGGACACCGTTGTCGCGACTGTAACGGGCTGATTTGCTCCACCTTCCGATGACTTGAAACTATCACCTCCCTCGCGCATGAGCGGGGAGTCCTATCGACACCATGGTCTCGGTCGAATCAACAGCAGCACAGGCAGTCTCTGCAGTCACCCAGGGGCCCATCACTTCGGCTTCACCTGCACTCCTAAATTTGACCAACCTCAGAACGGTGGCAGCAGATGTGACATCCTCCTTGTCTCTCCCCCTCGCCAAAAACCCGTTGTTCCGCTTCCCTCTCCGCGTTGCCTCTCAGATCGATCGAGCCCTCCTCCACGTATGGAACCGGTTTATTTTGGAAGGACTCGGTATCAGTAGTCTGGCAAGAGCTGGGACAGCGACCGCTGCTGGCGCTGCTGGCGCCCAAGCCATGGCAGACGCAGCAGTCCAACCGGGTTTGGCTCAGGCCGTGGGAGATGCGGCCGCAGAGAGTTGGTCGACCTTCTTTGCCGAGGTGTTCCAAGCAACGGGCTTCAAGTCTTACTGGGGCATGTTGCACTACCTCAGTTCAAGATGGGCCTTTATATGTTTCGCGGTGGTAAGAGCGAGTGTGTCGGAGACAACAAAGACGTCTGCTGACTTGCGCAGGCCCTGATTCTTAACCGTGTCAGCGTTTACGGGGCATCAAGGCAACGAATACAACTCACTTGGACGAGGAGGCTTGCTCTACGGATTGTACCTATTCTGCTATTAATCACCCAAATCCATCATCTTCTGCAGGCCATTCGATGTCAAACCTCACCAGACTACTCGCTATATCGGCACGGCGATAACAACAAATACAGCCTCTTGGATTGGTCAACAGACGGTGGCCCGCTGCATACCCTCACATCTACACTACTATTCCAGTCAACAGATGCTCAAGCTTGTGCCGCAGTGGGAATGAGCCGGCCGAGTCCCGACGTTCGCGCACCTTTTGGCTCCTTCTCGCTTCTTTGGCCATCCTTCCTCCGTTTGAGCTTGTCCCATGTTGTTGAAAACTTATCATGCTCTCTACAACAGATACCCACTATGGCAGAGGTCGGGATGTCCGTGTTCGAGCATTCCCTAGCATTCGCCGAGGCTGAGACGATGATCGCCCACACACTGGGTCTAGGCTATTACGGGTCAACGAGATCTGCGGCCAGCAAAGGAAATACCACGTCTCCTAGTCTCGATTCACAGCCTACGATTCCCGCATCAGGTACAATATTAGCTCTTGCGGATGCTACGTCTGCCCTGACGGGTCCGCATCTGCTTGATCGTGTCAATGTCCCGGTAGAAGTCCTCTTGATCACATTGCTCTCGTGTTGCAACTCGCTTTCGTCTCACGTCATTGCTGTTCTTGGTAAACAACGCCAATGGAGGCTCGTCAATACCGGAATATGGGCAATGGCTTTCATGGCGGCATTTGTCTGGGGATTCTGCACAACTAGTGTCATGGTTCGGAGCGGCGACAATGGAGACAACCGTCCTGTCAGCAGCCTTCTACACTTTCCAACTGTGGCGATCATAGGATTTCTTCCTCATATGGTCATCCTAGCTGGTATTGCGGTCTGTCTGCTCATATATTTGGTTGCCCTCACCTTGACGGCAATTTCCCTGGGCACTAATCCACAGATTCCACGGCCAACCACCCTCAAAGAACGTTTTATGATAGCACACGACAACTTACAGGTCGCAGTTCAGACTCGAGGGATTGATATTCGATGGCATGAGGACTTTTATACCTCCCTCCTCCGCACCGGATTTGCTGCGCTTACAGCGGCATCAGAAGCAGTTTTCCTAAATGAGGGCAGAGCAGTCGAAGTCCGCCAATTCACATGGTTGGAAGAGGACAGGCTAGATGAGTTTGACTCCGCTATGCGTGAGATGGGAGCTTTTCAAAATGCCTTCCCAAACAGTCCACAGTTCCAAATTTTGGAAGAATACGGCCTGCCTCCGTCAAGCCCTGGAGCCGCCGACAAGGGCGGCGTCTGGGAGTCGGGCTACTCCAAGGAAAGGAAATTCGACAAAAAGGACAACGAAGCAAAGGATTCGTTTGTCTACCCTACTCCTCGCGCTGGCGGCGTCGGCGCGGTACAGAGAACCACCCGTTTTTATCTGATTATGATATATCTCCGTGGGATCATGTTTCTTACAGCTGGGTATATTGGCTTTGGGATGGGTGTCTTACTGGACTCGATCGGCATCACGGCAAGACCTCGCTGGCTTCGACGGATTGTTGGTCGGTCTCTAAAAGAGATGAACACGAGGCCAAGCGGACCGAACAACGAGGACACGCTCGACTTTTGGATTCTAACAAAAGACGGCAAGCTCACGATAGCGAGCAGTGATGAAGTTGATATTGAGCCCGAGGTGAAGAGACGGCTAATGACGGAATTTCCCGAAGAGAGGGTCGATGAACTACTAGACACAAAGCTGTATGAGTGGTGGAAGTCGGGTGGTTGGTTTGGAACAAAAGACGACAGCGGAGACTATGAGCCATCGAATGCAGATGACAACGACGATATCACGAGTGTCATTTCGATGTCTACCGAAGCCAGTGTCTACAACAGTGACGCCGACGAAGAAGATGCCTGGGAGTCTGAACCCGAAGGAGCGCGAACTCCAACTCAGTCACATACAGGACCGTCATGGTCATTCTCAGGCGTCCAAAGCAGAGAGTCAACACCAGCCTTTACAGACTCACCTCTGGATCCGGCGACGCTGGCTAGACTTTTGAATCCACCAGACAGGGAATCTCGGGAAGAGGCACGGATTCTTGCCTCACATCTTGCCACTGTGGCCTCCGACTCTCCTGGTGTCATGACTCGTTCACGCTACCGTCGCGAGACCGAAGCTGAACGGGCTCGAATCCTGCTTGCGGGACGCAGACCAGATCCCAAGGTTCCCGCGGTTTCATTGTACAAAGAACCGCAAACTTCGGGTCCTCGGCCGCTTACCTCTGTGGAGGAAGCAGAGGTCCTCGAATCACTAATCCTCAGCCGTCGACAGAAACATGCACCGCCCCCGGCGACGTCGAAAAATGGAAAGTCAGATCCAGGCACCGCCGAGGAAGACAGACAATTCGGACCGCCATGTGTCGTCTGCCAGAACGCCCCTCGAGCCATTATCGCGTGGCCATGTCGGTGTCTCTGTGTCTGTGAGGATTGCCGCGTCAGTCTGGCCTTGAATAATTTTGGCAACTGTGTCACCTGTCGACGGACCGTGCAGGGATTTGTAAGGCTCTACGTGCCATGAGCCATCTATTCAGAAGTGTAAGAGTTGTAACCATCCAAGGTGGAAGATATGCGATGCGATGCTAGTTCCATTTTCAGCGCACCTTTGGTTTTTCTCTCTCTCTCTGTTAGATGTAGCTGAAACAAAGCAAAAGTTGGAGATAAGTCTATCCAACCAGACTCATTTATGCCCTTCTCCCAGTCATTCACTCGTTCGTCCATTCATCTATTCCGAGTATTTCTCACACAGCTCCTTTTCCCACATCGGCTGAATCCACGAAATATCTATCGACCCCTGCGTGAAGAGAGGGATTAAGGACTTGGCGTCAGGGTCAGGGTCAAGATCAGGATCAGGCTCAGAAATATCATTGCCTTTCAGGTCTCTCTTAACGCTTTGCGCGACTTAAGCGCATGCTGGGCAGGTAGATGGTTCTTTTTACCTACCTACCTACCTACCTACCTGCCTGCCTGCCTGCCTAGCATAGATACATCCTTAGTAGGGATATTTAGGTACCCTACCCTGGTACCCCACCAAGGCAGGTCAGGTAGTTTGTATGACGGTACACATTCATTGACTCAGAGAATCCTGCCTCCCCGCGGAGAGAGTCCCTCGTTTCTACTTCCAAAGAAGAGAATCAGAAGCGCTTGTCCATCTAGCGATACATCTACGCTCGCTCATCCTGACTTGCACCTTGCTTTCCAAAGAGGAAACCAAAAAGGCACCCAAAGACGAAACAACCGCCACAACGGGAGGGTGGCAGAAGAACAAACGAATAAACACGCATCGTAGCGCCCATAACATATTTTCGCAATGATACGCCACAACCCCCAACTTGTTAGCCCCGGGCGGTGGTGGTCGGTGCCGAGAGAAATGCTTCCCGTTCTGCAGCCCAACTACCCAAGAAAGATCCCAGCTCGTCTATAGCCGCATCTAGATCAAAGTTATCATCGTTCTCCACCAGTGCGAGCAGTTGTTGTCGTTGCGCATCCTGCTTGTTCGATGACGAGCTGGAGATATTGGAGTGGACTGGCGCGATCGTCGAACTCTGCGGGGACGATTTGAGGATACTCTTCGGTGCCGACGCCCGGAGGAATTTAGGGGAGCTCGAGTCATTTGTGGCAGGGCAGTGTTCTTCTCCGTGCGGCGAAGCTGTCTTGTTAAACGCCATTGTATCTTGGATCATGACTGTGGGTTTCGCAACTTTCAATGCCGATTTTATGGTCCCCCGAGATGACCCGGATGGTGTGTCATCGGTCGCGAACGCAAGACGTCTCCTACTTTTGGGAGGCCCGGGTTTCGTGATGCCAGGAGAGCTTGAGGTTTGTTTCCCTCTTCCAACTCTCTTTGTAGACAGCGGCACATCTGACACACGATCCGTCAATAAACGAGACGTCTCGAGCTCGTCGACCTCCATTGGGGATTGTTGATGGTCACCTGGTACCGGCTTCTGTCTTTCTGTTGCAGAAATGCTTTCCGCATCAAGCCCGGCATCTGCACCAGAATTCGTACCCTCAGCGGCGGATATTTCAGCGATGGCTGCATTTCCAAGGTCCTCTATCCCGATTGTTCGTGGGCTACGATGGTCCAGAACTTCTTGAGGCGCTTGGCTGTGGCTGGAAAGATTCGAGGGCAAAGATGCTAACACCGGGAGTGGAGGCACCTGAGCAGATGGTAGATCTGTCGATATGCTTGATTTCGTTCTTTCTCTCGCCAAAGACAGGGGGCCGGGCTCAAATGGACTTGCTGGATATGTGTCATGTGCATCAGGAACCGTCCCAGCAGTATCGTTGATTCTTGAAATCACGTCTTCTGCAGATTTCAATCTTTCCTCCGTCTTGTTTGTAGGTGGCGGTAAACCGAGAGAAGGTTTCAATCCGCCAGAATCAATTATGCCGTGAGCACCATCCTGAGCACCAGCGTGACGAGTGAATGGTTTTGTGACGAATGAAGTTGTATGTTCTGTTCTTTGTTGGGATTTTAGGATAGCATATTCTGCCCTAAACTCACTCGCATCGGCTTGCTCGACCGCCGGGTGTTGAGTTTCAGGGTACTTTTGCCTTGGTGGAGAAGTGTTGCAGTTTCGTGCTCGCGGACGATGTTGCGGCGTCGTTGCGTTGAGAGGGGATGAAAGATTGCTCTTGAAGTCCTCGGAGCGCCTCAACGCCGATGTGCTGCAAGAAAGTAGACCCTTGTGACCCGCAATCCTGACGATGCCATCCGTCGGGACAGGAAGACCAAGGCTAGGTCTTGGATTCTCCCTCCTCCGTGCCTTGCCTTCGCTTGGTGATGGAGGTGGCAAGGACTGCTCATTGTTATCTGGCCTCCGATATGCTGCATTCCTCTTCAACCAATCTTCACTCCTATTGTTTTCGGTAGGAAGGTCATTCTCCTGAAGATGTTGACCAACACCATTTTCCCCTTGTTTATTCTTTCTCACTGGACTTCGACCACCCGCTGCAGGCTTATTCTTCGTTTTCTCTGTTGCAGGTTTGGATGTTTCTGCAGAGGTCCGAGGGGAATAATCCGCCTTTGAGACGGAGGGGTCTTGTTTCTTTCGGTGCGCAGGCTTGGTGACTCGTGCCAGACTTGTAAGCCTCTGCTGGCTTGTTACAGCCTCCTTGGCTTTATCAATGGTCTTTTCAGCCCAAGGATTCTTCCACCCGCTGTCAAAGGGCCCTCTGAGTTGAGCCGTCATAATGAATATAGGCTGGCCTCGGAGATAGGCTGTTGCATGGCTCTCAATTCGTCGCCGTTTTGCAGCCCGCTGCTCTCCTTCCCCCCGGGCATCATTCGCTGGATCATAATATACGATTGTGTCATCACAGATTGGGATGTCTTCGGCAGAAACAGGTGAAACCGGCCTGGGATACTGAGGTAATTTGGGTTTCCGAGCGGGCATGGCCGAAACAAGCACAGTCGAACATGCAGGTTGCTGTCTAGGAAAACAAATCGTGCTTTAATCAGCAAGCAAAACTATTGTACGAGGAGAATTAAGCAACAAAAAGCTCCAAGGCTCCCGTCGCTGAACCCGGGATGCGCAGGTGATCAACTGTGTGGCGTTTAGCAACCTGGACTTGCATTTAGGCAGGGCAAAGTCCAATTAATCCCGAAATGATTAGCGAACGCGTCACGCGTCACCACCAATGCATGTCGTCATCACGTGTAGATTTTCGCTTTCACGTTGATACGAGGCGCTCTTCGTCAAAAGGGCAATATGGATTGTGATTTAACGGATATTTTTTCTGCTAATCCTGTCGCTATCGACTATCTAGCTACTAATCCATATCCACAGGTGCTGGAAACCTTTTTGTTGCAGGATTGCATTGTGTCGACGTAAAGCAATTTGTAAAACCAATCGACAGGGCGTTTATCTCCATTACCATTCTGTGTACACCACCAGCAAAACTCATGGAAGGGTATCAATGCAAGCAGCCGAATGCACGGGAAACATCAAGGGCCATATCCTCAACAGCCCTATTGGGAAGTAACACCATCGTAATAAGTTTTGTTGGCGCTGCCGTTTGTCACGTTGCCGCCAACGTTAACTCCGCCATTGGTGATGTCTTTGTTTGTGTCGAAAGCACGTTCAACTTGATTGCTGAACCCTGCAGTTCCCGCCGGAGCAGTTCCTGCAACGTTACTGGTGGCAGTAGTACCAGTGACAGACGACAAATTATCGTCGTTAGGGTGGTTACCGCCACGAATAGTACCAGATGCTGTACTGTGTGGCTTGCGTGAGACAGACTTCGATTTGGGAAGGTCGGTTGACTCCTTCGCGTGGCCAATGCTGAAGACTGGAGATTCCCAACGATCGCCCTTGGCAGCAAGTTCCTTGTACTCTGTTGCCTTGGTTGACACTCCTCCTGGCAAGCTAATATGCTTGAACATGGAGTCTTGCTTCGTCATAGCCACATTGACGTTGGTCTTGGACGCAACCTCCTTAGCCTTCTCCTTCTTCTCTGTCAACATCTTCTGGTAAGAGTTCCAGTAAGATTGCCAGATATTCGGAGCATTCTCGGGATCCTCCAGAGCTGCTTGCTTGCCGCGCTGTACGTCTTGATGGACACGGTAAGCGAAAGCATCTGCTTTGACGAATGTGTCCTTGATCTGTTTCTCCAACACCTTCTGAATCACTGGTTTCATTGTCTTCAGGAGCAACGGCTTGGCAATCTTGAACAGCAACTTATGGTTGGATTGCTTGACCTTCACGTTCAGATTCTTGATTGTAACGTCAACCTTGTCCACGGCAACAAAGTGGCTGCGGTCTTTGGCATTGGCGTTTCGCGCAGAAATCTTGAAACTGAAGCCTTCGCCACCGAGGAAGATGTCCATGACACCCTTGTCGGTGATGGATGGGAATCCTTGCTTCTTCTTGATGTAGTATGCAACGTCCTGGAGATCCATTTGGATGCCGGAACCCGCGATTGTGACCTTGTTCTCCCTCTTGTTGGACACTCCCTTGCGACCCATGCGGAAGTAATTGTCACTACCGAACTCGAAGATGTTGGGGAACAGGTTATCACTCTCAATCACGAGATTCTCAACCACAGCGTCGATCATGGGGTCCGATACTTCAATTCGGGGAATTGGAATATAGCGAGTATTTTCAAAGATTTCTGGGATAATGACCTCAGTGAGATCTTTGATCAAATGCGGCTTAAATGTCGCTTTGCCATTCTCATCGTTGCCCAGGTCGAGGAAGAGTTTCTGGACAGCATCGCCAAAAGCCTTGTTCTGCGGATCCTGGTCGAACTGATCGCCGAGGAATTTAATCTCATCGAGAATGCGGTCGGTGTGGTTTCGGTAGCGATCGCGGAGAAGGAAGCGGCCTTTTTCGCGGAGCCGATTGTACTCGTCGGTAGCCTCGTCTTGGAGGATGTATCCTTGTTCTTGCAGGCATTTGCGGATGTATCTGTCCACAGCCTTAAACCAATCCTTGAGTTCTGGGTCGCGATCGGCATCACGGTAGATGTTGTTCAAGGCGTCAAAGAAGTCATCAGTGCTTGTGTAGTTGGCGAAGCGTTCAATCAATGTCTTCAATTTGATCAGCGCATGCTTGTTGTCACGGTAAGCGGCTGTACGAACCTTCAAGTTAGCTTCAGCACTCTTCAAGCGATCATCTTCATGAGCACCTTTAATAGTCCCAGTGGACTGCGACTGTAAGTTGTTGGCGTGGCCTCTATATGTCTCGGCAAGAGAGAGCAGCGTGTCGATGGCTTGACGATCTATCAGATGGTTAGTTGAATGTTCTTGGTCGCACAACGTGACAACAACTTACAGTCAGAATGACCCTGGATTTCCACCACCATCTTCTTAAGACGCCAGATAGCTTGGTCCCGGCGCTCTTGGGGCACCTTCTTATTGAGGTAGTTCTTGGTATGCTGGGATGTAGCTTCTTTGGCCTTCTTGACATCTTCTTGACGCTCATCGGGAATATTCTGCTGCGCACGGTCTCTCAGGGTCTCAGTCGCGTTCTGCAGCCCTACACGTCCGGCTTCTTGGTTATCCTGGGTAGGATGCTGTTGAGCGGTGTCCAGCCCCTGTTGGGCGGCGTCCTTGGCTTCCTCTCTGCTGAAAGGCTTGTTTTGGTTGTAAGCGTCACGCGCCTGGCTCTTCAGATTCTCTCTGGACAGATCAGGAACGTCATGCCAAGTATTGTCTTCCGCGGGATGGTCGATTTGGTTCAGCTGGTCTTCGGAAGGATTCACGCGGCTGGCGACATTCTGAGCAGCATCGCCAGCCACATCCCGCATCAGAATGACAGCGTCATTGAGCAATTTGCGGAATTGACCGTTCGACAAAATGAGTCTGCCGAGGGTCTTCAGACCTTCCAGAGCTTCATCGCCGTGCTGTTGAGCAGTCGCCTTGTCCGTTGGGGCATTGGGAAGGTTGGCGTTGCTGCCGTCGAGGTGTTGTGTGTCCCAAATGAATTCTTGAAGGAGATTTCCATCGTTCTTGGACAGCAGCAGGTATTTGGCCTGGCGAATGACTTCTTTCAAATCCCCAACCAGCTTGCGGCCCTCCTCGGAGAGTTTTGGCGAAGGTGAGGAGAGGGCCTTGGATTCGAGTGCACTGTTCAGCGCCACATCGATCTGCTTGTTGGAAGGCACTTTGCCATTGGCAAAAGCTTGGTAGATGCCGTATAGTTGGAGTTTCTGGTTGATGTCCTTCTCCTTGACGGCGTTGTTCGTCGGCCGATTAACGGAGGCCATGGTGGTGTTCAATTACCCGTCAAAGCGACAACGGTGCAAAAGGGGTATCACAAAAGTATGAAAACAGAGAAGAGATATGGGTCAAGCCCTTGTTCAAACGCAGTTCAGGTTCTGTAGGTTTGCAAGCAGTTTTAGAATTCGCGGAGTGGTGAATACGAAATCAAGTATGGAGGAGAAGTGGTCTGAGAAGAACTATTAGCAGACCAGGTCAGACAGAGGAAGTGATGTAGTTATGAGTGAGAGATGGGGAGGGGTGTGCGTTGTGTATTACCTCACAGCCAAGTTGGTGGCACAGGGCGTCACTCGATCAAGGAGGCACGCGCAACACGACCTGGCTTCGTTCCAAGGTTGGGGGAGCTTCTGGGCCATAGTCTAGCCGCGATCGAGGAGGGATCGACAAAGCTGTGGCTTGATCTGAGCGGAACAAGACAGAAACAGAGTGGTTGAGCATCTTTTTTGGGCGGAAACAGTGTGGAGATCGAGGCTGGACAAAGCCAGAGCTGAACGATGAAGCGGCGAGGCGGATATTGATCGCGAGCTCCAGCAAAACCCAAAAGAACCATCATGACATCACCTGCCACCTTGGACATACGCACTACTGATGATATTGTACGTTAGTCTGACAGCCAACAAAACATTAATGAAGTCCATTACGACTATGGCAGTGAGTCCGGGTTGCCAGCCACTTGTAGAGATCCTACTGTAGCCCTGGAGACAGGTATATACTTTTGGAGTGAATTGGTCCTCCTCCCGCTGGCTGTTCGGATCTTCATCCCGGGTTCACTGTGTAATGAATGGATCTACGTAGCAATATCAGCCCTTTACATATATCAATCAGACCAGAGGCAATGAGGGACGTTGAGCTAGAGAGCTCGACTTCAATGTTGCCACTACTGATGCGGTTGCCGTCAGTCAAGGTTCGGTGTATTCGATGTTGGTTTTTTTCTCTAGCCCTGGAATTTTGGACATTTTCGTCATTGCTGGTCCACCACAAAGGCCGATCACGATCAAACGAGGCATCGTTCGTCGCAAGGTCAAGCCCTGATCGAAAGACGGGAAAATCGTCGTTTGCTCTCCACAAAATATGACGTTTAGAAGGCTCTAGTCAAGTCCATATTGCGCAAGGCTTTGGAACAGCTTCCCGCCAATCGTATCCACTGCCAAGTACTTGCTCCGCTGATGTGGCTAGGATGGATTGTTGCTCATTACCAAAGTACCTAATCGGCCTCCAGCTACATTTTGGCGAAGCATCACGTGGTGACGCGCTTTCTTCTCCAACGCGCCCTTCCCCGCCTGTTCAAGCCCGCCAGACTGCGCGCGCAAACTCATACAGATTATCTATAAGGCTCACTTTATAATTTATTCCTTTATATGCCACATTGGGATAGCTCAGGTCTCTCCTTTCAGCATCTTAAGCTATTGTTAATTGATTGAGTTTGAGAGCGGCTGCCCTTCCATTCCAACCATGGCGACCAGGGCCTCTGGACTGAACGGTCCAAAGCGCCCGTTCCGCGATCAAAAGCGACAGACCAGGCTACAGTTCTCGTCTCTGTCTTCCTCACCTCCTGGACCAGGGAGTCCCAGTCCACGTGTCTCAGATCTACGAGCTGGAACAGCATATAAGCGATCAAACACTCTCCCTCGCCGATCGGACGAGCCCTACCCCGAACCTTCGTATCCACCAACTCTGGAGGCTCCTGCGGATTCGCATCTCCAAAGTCATGGTATGGTCAAGTTTGGTACACCTTTGATACAACTGACCGCTTCCAGAACGATCTGAAGAACTGCATCAGACCTTATTTCCCTCGTCGCCCACAGTCCACCGAGTTTTACAAATCGATCTATCCGACGGCACGGACGAAGATGACTTGGTCTCTCCCGCTCAAAAGAAGCGCAAATCGTCCTCTATCCTCCCGCCTACGCAACCAACCATTCTACCTTCCGCGAGGAAGTCGAAGCGGTTAAACCCTGACTCCTCCCCAGGTGAACATGAGGACTCGCAATTACCTAGTTCCTCCTCTCCACGGAGGAGGTCAGGAAGATTACGTCGCATGCCATCACCATCAGGAGGACAGTCAAGTCGGCAGTTGAGTCGCCCTGGGAGTTCTCGCTCTGTTCCGTTCGTGGATATCTCATCCCCAGCCTATCGCTCTACCTTTTCTGATATTGGATCTCCGGAGACGAGTGACGATGACGATCCTGTCATGACATCCAAGCCGACAACGCGGAGGAAAGCAAGACTAGATAATGACGATGAAGACCCTTGCGTGATAGACCAGAAGAGCCTTGCGAGATCGACGCCGAAGCGGAAAAAAAGCAGGGGCGATGACTTCGTGGTGGATGATGAAGAAGTTGAATTTCTCTCTTCTGAGGATGAAAACGATAGAACTAGGGTACAACCACCCACAAAATTGTGGAGATTGAAGCCGAAGCACAGGTCTTCCAAAGCATCTAGGCGTCGAGCTAGGGAAGAACAGGATGAACTCGAGGAAGATCTGCACGACCTACAGGATTCAGTTCAGGAAGTAATTGAGCCAAGGGCGCGAACCAGAGGAGGTCCAGTCACAACTCAACGCGATAAGGCTCGAGAGCATTTACAGCTCTTGAAGAGACGGCGTGCAGGCGAAAAAATCCCACGTGTCCGCGACTCCGACGAAGAATCAGACGAAGGATTGGAAGGCGTTGACATCAACTTTATCGGCCAGCCACATCTCAACGTCTCCAGCGACCAGTCTTCGGATCCGGCGAGTGATGTGGACCAGGTAAACGATGACGAAGACGGACAAGAGGAGGACGACGACGATTTTGTTGTTGACGATTCAAAAGGGAGACTCGGCCGACCACATTCGGATATGCCACTACAATTCACGTCATTTGCCTCGGCCAAACCAAGAGAACTCTTCCCTCACATTATTGAGTGGATGGTCAAGAACAAAATCGCGCCAGCCTTCAACCGCGATGATCCAGTGTATAACCTCGCCTTTGATCGCCTGGACGACCAAGTCAAAGCTCAAGCAGGAAGCAGACTTATCTCGGCAGCATGGGGTACCGACTTCAAACGAGCCATACTGGCAAGGCCGACTATGGAAGTCGTAGCATTGCCAGGCGAAGATGACGAGCACATGCGAACCTGCGATGCTTGTAACCGTACCAACAACCCTGCTCGCTATGAGTTCGTCTTCTCCGGCGCACCATACTATAAGAAAACACTTGAACCTGTCGATAATGAGGATGAGGGCGAAGATGAGGGCGACGAACATGACGCGAATAATACCACCACCTACGACGAAAATGGCCATGCCATCTCTGCTCAGCAAACACGCTTTTACTTGGGTCGTTTTTGCGCTGCCAATGCCGAAATGGGACACAAACTCACGCATTGGAAATATCGTCTCAACGAATCCCTGATGACCTATCTCAAAGCACAAGGTGTTCTCTCAGCGGACGCCATCGTCTCGCGCGAACAGAGGAATAAAAGGAAGCGCGAAAAGGAAGCAGAGAAAATTGTGGACAGCATGCAGGAAACGGGTGTAATTGCAGAGTTCTGGCGTGAATTTGAAAATGATCTCAACGACGCGAGGTTGGGGATGGAGGACTTTGAAAAGCGAGGTGGGAGGTCGAAGGGAAGAGTAGGGGCGATCCGAGTGATGACGGGTGGACTGGTCAGGGAATGGAATAATGACAAGTATCGGCTGACGAAGGCCTTGGAATCGGATTCAGAGCAGGAGTAAGAGGCTGGATATAAAAGAGAAATCCAGTGGGGATGCACTGGGACATGAACGTACGCGAGAATGCTGGCGGAACATCGGGATATCAAGCATCCTTGAGCACACCTCTGACACCTTAACTCGTCTCTGGATGTCTTGTGAACGAGAAGTGAGGGCATGCATTGATTTTCTATCTTGGAGCTGTGACCGAGAGCTGCTTGGACATGAAATCTTTTGGATGGAAATCACTCTGACGATTCGTTAGTTGGGCTGCAAAGAAGACAATATAACAAGTGGCTTAGAGCTGTAGCAACATACACAGACATACAGAGACACACGAGACCGATTCTCTACATCTTCTCTCTTCTCTTCTCTACTTACGTATCTCACACTCGAGACTTGTGACTCGTGTCGTGAGTACCTAGGTATTTCATCTCATCATTTATATGAATATGCCATTAAATGCAGCAATTTCATTAGAGATAACGCAGAAGAGACGAAAAGAGGGATGGAGAGAAGGTGGTTAGAGACATCGTTCTAGTCTTTGCTTGGGAAGTACATGTACATGGTGAAGTGGTGAAATAGTAGTTGGGATTTTTTTTTAAAAAAAAAGGACCACGGCATAACAGGCAGAGAGGCAGAGAGGCTGGTTGGCCGATTGGTTGGTTGGTGTATTTTCACCAAAGAGGTATATATCACAACGACAACAACAAGAATAAGACTGCTTCAAAGCCGACTAACTTGTTGTCCTTGGTCTGATGCGGGTGATGTTCCATCCACCATCACCACACCTCTTTCGCTGCCCGGCCTGCGCAGCCATGTAGTATTGTACAAGATACAAGATTGTATTCGTGACTTTGTTTCCGGGGAGGCTTGACTTTTGTCTTCCTCCACTCGTCGAATGGACTTCCCGTCCTTCGTCTTTGACTCAAAACGGTGCCTTCAAAGACGTACCCTCGGTGGCAAGACGCAGGCGAGAAAGCGGCACACTCTTCGCAAGCGGAGTTCCGGGTTGACAATGCAAATCTGCCTGATTCGCAACTCACAAGAAGAGGCAGGAGAACCTGGGTGCTGCCCGGGTCTTTGCCCCAAGAAAATCGCAGCAGGAGTTGACGCCATTCCATCCAATCCCATCCTCCCCATCCGGATTCTCTTTCGAGACTGATATTACAAGGCCGGCTTCGCGTCCCCTTGTCCGGGTTGCTGGCCGCCCTGGATGATTCCCTGCGTTCCCTGTTCCATTATCCCCCTCTGTCGCTCCTCCTCCATGTATTGCTGCTCCTCGCCCAGCGCAAGCGCATAGGGGATCCCCAAGAGTAAAATGCTGGTCGCGACGACCCACAGGCTCTTCCCGCCGAAGGTGATGGAGGCGTTAGCTGCGGAAAATACGGTCTGGGTGGCAGAAACCAAGCGGGCGCGGGTTTTCGGGGGCACGATATCGCGGAGCGCGGAGAGGCGGTCAATGATTGACTCGTCTAGGGGAGCCTCGACGGCGTCGTCGTCGGAGATCTCGGAGTCTGGGTTAGATGAAAAAATTAGATCCTGAACGTCGATTTTGTTGCTGTGGGTTGCGAGTGGACTGGGAGAAAATCGTCGAAAGGGTGAATGGATCATTGGTCCTCGACGGAGAGGGACCAGATATAGCGATGGCATAGCAGGACAAAAAAAATGTGAAAAGCGGCGCAAGGGGGTATATTTCCTCACCAGTGTCAGTGTAATCTTCATCATCGTCTGCCAGCAGAGCGCCGTCCTTGGTCGTATCTGGCTTGTTGATGAAGTGCTCATCTTCGAGTTCTTCAAGCTTGACCATTTTGCTTTATTTTAGGGTGGCTAAGATTCCAACACCAACGAATATGAAAGAAATTAGAGCGTAGAATAAGATGGCTGTGGATGTAGACGGCAGGAGTGATGAATTTATTGAATGATGAAATACTTTGGTACGAGAAACTTGAAGCTCGCATGCTCTTTTCTCCGACTGCGAAATTTCGGTGCTGCGGTCGGGTGGAGCAGGAGGTCCCGAGACGCACATCCTTCTTGGTGTCCAAGTCTCTAGTCGTCTACTAGGTGCAAGGGTGTAGGGGTGTCTAACGGGGTGACATATGATTTTATTCTGCTTCGGGTCTTCGCATGCTAATGCATATTTGACCTCAGGGCTTCGGTCCACCGACCAAACCATTGCACTCGTCAGTTGACACCTCTGAATTGCGCGCTGTCGAGAACGATTCATGCTTCCCGCCTTGTCAGCACGAATCTAACTGAACGCATTGATAATCTCGACGACTGTGGTTCGGAAACGTCAGCGATTTCATTCGGTCATGTAGGGTGTTTTCCCAAAATGTTGACTTACAGGCAGGTTTCAAGCTGGCACCGCCAACCAAAAACCCATCCACATCAGGCTGCTTGGCCAAATCCCTGCAGTTCTTCTCGTTGACGCTTCCACCATAGATGATTCTGGTGTTCTCGGCGGCTTCGGGCGAGACGGCGTCCTTCAACCATTTTCTGATGGCTGCATGAACTTCCTGCGCTTGTTCTGCAATGGTTCGGATGCGTCAGTCACTCCTCACACATGTCGGGGAGTCTTTGCTTCATACCAGTCGTTGCAACCTTGCCTGTCCCAATGGCCCAGATAGGCTCGTATGCGATCACCACATTCTTCCAGCCATCCTTGCCGATAGACTTGTTCACCGCGTCCAATTGTCTTGTGACAACATCGACCGTGATACCCTTTTCCCGCTCCTCGAGACTCTCACCGCAGCACAGAATGACACCAATTCCGCCGTCGAGTGCGGCTTTGGTCTTGCAAGCCACGAACTCATCTTCCTCACGGAGGATGGTTCGGCGTTCCGAGTGACCCAGCAGTGTCCATGTGATCCCACTGTCCTTCAATTGCGCCACCGAGATTTCACCCGTAAAAGCCCCGTTGGGCTTGTCGAAGACATTTTGAGCTGCGACTTCAATGTTCGGGGAGAGGTGTTCGCGGGCCAGCAGGAGGTACAGACTCGGGGGTGCGACGACGACTTCGGTATTCGGGTCTTGTGGAAGACAGTCAGTCAAGATCTTTCGGTAATCCCTCTGAAATGGCATATTCAAGCAAGTGGGGAACGAGGGATTAGCATACCGAGCTTGGCTGTGGACAAGTTGTGGACAATCTCTTTGATGGACTTGATCGTCCCATTCCTGGTGGAAGTGGTGTGTTAGTACTCGGGAAACACCCTTTGACCGGTTCCTAAAGAGCACAGGGTCTGTGTGTCTGTCCTCACTGCATACATTTTAAAGTTGCCTCCAACAAATGGTTTTCGACCCATCTTGAAAAGGTTTGCAGGAGGCTGAAGAGGAGAAGGAGTAACTAGACTGTTGCTGGTGATATACCGCTATAAAGTTAGGATGAGGATGAACAGGCTGAAGAGTTTAAAGACACGGGAGAATGAGTATCCAGGAAAAAGAATATCTCGGAGAGCGAAGGAAAACTATGAATAGTGGAAATGGCAGAACGGTAGAATTGCTTTTCTCTCGCCCTCTATTCTGTTGACATCGGGGACAACAGGGCGGGGCTGCCAATGATGGTCGGTCGAGGGGTAGTTGGGGTGAGGGAAGCTCTTCCGAGCATCTCGGTCCATCCTATCCTCCGTTTTATTATCGTCCCTCTGGTGTATACAAAGTAGCCTTCCTCTGGATAGATCTAGATGACTATACAAGAGAGCATAGTGACATTCTTGTTAACATCAAGCCGCAGCGCTGGTAGTTGATACTTGTGGTCCCCCGGACCGCAGCCGGACACAATGTATGTCCTCAGACCACGCCACTCTTCTGCCGCCATACAAGTAGATCTCAAATGTCAAGCGCTGACAGTGTAGGTAGATATATGGCTAAATCGATCACAAGTGAACGCTCCAGTCAAGTTCTGACATGACGACCAGAAATGGAAATGCACTACTTGCTCTGTAGTCCACCGTACCATCTACGTCACCGCAGAGATTTTTCCGAGACGCAAATATCGAAATATTTTCTACGTTGCGAGATTGAAATAATAGGCGGCGAACTGGATTTGTCTGGAAAGTCGATGGTTAGAAAGGACGAATAGTTGAAGCGACAACTAATTGACAACCTTCATCCTCGCACCGCTTCGCCTTTCACCCACACTTATTTTTCTCTCCCTCTATTTACCCACCACGCCACCGATTCGTTGCGCCATCTGGTTGTCTCCCTCCATTCCACCACTGGTCAGCGACCATGGCAGCCAAACGCCCAGAGAACCCTGACGGGTTGCCCGCAAAGCGCCAGAAGACCGCTGGCGGGCTCGATCCTAAAAACAATCCTTACCTTGCTCACTGGCACGACAACGATGTGAACGGGTACACAAACGGCTCCTCAACCCCTCCGATTCCCAGCGGCAGCCCTCTCGCCGACTTCCAACGGCACAAGACCACGGCTGCGTTGGCTCACAAAGCCGAAGATTCAAAAACCAATCCTTTCACAGGCCGTCCCCATTCCGATCGATACTTCTCCATACTGCGTACCAGAAGAGATCTGCCTGTCCATGCCCAGCGGGACGAATTCCTTCAGTTGTACCAGAAATCCCAAATTCTAGTTTTCGTGGGCGAAACTGGGTCAGGAAAGACGACGCAAATCCCCCAGTTTGTTCTCTACGATGATTTGCCACAGCAAGAACGAAAACTCGTCGCATGCACGCAGCCTCGTCGAGTGGCCGCCATGTCGGTAGCGGAACGTGTTGCCAACGAGCTGGACGTCAAACTTGGCGAAGAGGTCGGATACAGCATAAGATTTGAGGACATGACAAGCCAAAAGACGATACTCAAGTACATGACCGATGGCATGCTCTTGAGAGAGGCCATGAACGACCACGAGCTCACAAGATACAGCACGATTATTCTCGACGAAGCCCATGAGCGGACATTAGCTACAGACGTGTTGATGGGTCTATTGAAAGAGGTGGTTTTGCGTAGGCCCGACCTCAAGTTGATCATCATGTCTGCAACCCTGGATGCTCAGAAATTTCAGAGATA